TTAATGATAGTGAACAACTTGTCGCTATCATAGTCTCGAAAGGTCAACTTTCATCACGCCACGTGTTCATAGCAATGTTCATGCGATATAGGTTCACATCGATTCTCAACAATCTCGGAAACTAACGCCCATTTTCACATTTGCATATCAAATTCACACACACTGTAACAACTCAACAAAGATCTCGCTCGCCCCTCACTTCTGCTTTTTCTCCCGTATTCCCTCAGCTCCATCGGGAAATCAGCACCCCATAATGCGCTTCCAGGCCTCGTCACCTGATCATAAATTCTTCTACTGCGCAAGTGGAAACCCCAAAACAAAACGACATAATGTACCAACATATGGGAAGGCGTATGCATTCGGTTCAACCTCGTCACATTCAAAAGTCGACCAATTTGATATGCAAATGTGCGTTTTTCGGAATTAATGGAGTTTCACCACCCGAGTGATATGAAAAACACCAGTGAAAAATATATTCCACGACTACTTCATATCACCGCGTATATCGCGTTTTTCACAGAGTTTTACGCCACTTCACGTAAAACGGGCGAAACTCCATTACTGCGAACGATGTTAACATTGCTTATGCGATATACTTTCAGATCGATTCTCATTAATCTCGGAAAATAATACACATTTGCATATCGACTTGACATGTCCTGTAAACTCATTCCCTCAACAACAAAATCAACACTGTGTGAGTATAACAACTGTTGTGTACCCAGAAGCTACAGCTCATCGCAACTACACCCCACCAAGGGAAACTTTCTACTGATCAATACATTAGAGTTTCATCCGTTTAACGTGGAATGGCGTAATACTCTGTGAAAAACCCGATATTCGCGGTGATATGTAGTAGTCGTAAAATATGTTTTTCATATCACTAGGGTGAAATTTCAGTATAAAAAAATACTCGCAAAGTTAACTACTCCTACTATTTTCTTACCTCTAATAGTTTATCGACGTTTTTCCCCGTCTTCGCTGACACCCCCAAGATCGCTGATTCGTCCGTGTCCATCAGACTAGCCAATTGAGCCCTACTACTCGACAGGTCTACCTACGCACAGCCACACAGTATGTTCGCTTCCCTCAGCTGAGCTCAGGAATCAGTTTCCTCACTAATTATACAAGTTCACATACGAATCCGAATGGGAATGCAGGGAATCACCTCCGAAAATTTCCTCGGAATTTTTCACATTGTCATCACCAACATATGCTCGGAGTCGCCTTACATGTTCAATGTCAATTTTATTAAGTGCACCGATAACCTCCAAGCCTTGTTGCATAAAAGCCAAATAAAAATTAGCTACCGTCTGCGCCTGAACTCCTGACATAAAGAACCAGGTGCCTGTATACTCTACCACCTCCATTTTCGACATCAGTCTATGCGTTCGTTCGCTTTTATTATTTCTCTACTATACTACACCAGTTGAGCTGATACCATTCGGAAGAGTGTAGTTCATGTACCCTACAACGAATGCGAAATTGCTACCAACCCCAACTTATGCCGTGAATTGGTCGAAGATCTAGTAATGATGGCATGAAATACAGAGTGGTGCAAGAAAAGAGTCCACCCTCGTAATTTCGCGGCAAGTGACGTCCGTACCATCGAGCTTTCTCCAGCGCTGTATGAACGGTTCTGATATTCG